TATTAGTTGCTTTCTGTGGGGACTATGCAATGTTTTTGTTTTGACTGGAATGTAATAACGTATGGTCTTTAATTACCAACAGTTTCATATGTTTACTTGGGGTAATTTTACAAGCAAGAAATTGTTGTAAAGCCGGGCAGTTTACACTGGAAACATGGATGTTACTTTTGTCAATTTGTAGGAAAAACATTATCACTGAAGTCAGAAGCACTGAAAACTTGCAGAGAATTTCTTACTAGCGATAAAACTTACACGTTTGAATACACTGCAGCAATTTGCACTGGACTTTGCCACAAGCAAAGCCCCTCAGCTGAAACCCTCACTAACTCTTCACTGATTCTTCAAGCACAGCCCCAAACTATCCGACATGTAGACCACCTTAATACCAAAAAGAGCTGTTGTATCCGCTTGTTTACCCAACAGTATGGGAAAGAAACGCCATCAGTACTTCTGGCTGCTTATGAGTGCGGACAACCGACAGATTCCATTACTAGCAGCAAAACAAAAAAACAAAGGAAACTCCTGAGCTTCAGCAGTTACGATTACTAGAAGAAACCAGAAGTTAAAAACAGGTGAGTTTGACAGCAATTAGGGAAGGCAACAAAGTAATTTCTACTAGGGCCTACTGCAGTACTATGCAGATCTTATTTGCTTGCACTCAAGCTTATGATCACACTGCATTACAGCTCACGACAAGCCAGGACTCTAGGAACTCCGAGAAAGTCATTCTGCAGAAGTCCACAGGCTATCACTCCATTCCTTTCTTACATATTGAAGTCATGAAAAAAGAGAAAAAACACAAAGAAAAAAAAGAAAAAAACAGCATCACCATGACTATTATTATCATTGAGAACAAATACTATTTGCAAGTGCACACAGTCAATATAAAGCATGCCCTCAGCTTGGAGGAGGATACACTAAACCAATCTAAAATGCCAGCTTTATCAGACACTCACGAAGCGCAGCTTCTCCCATATCCTGACATAGGTGCAGATGGTGCAGATGGCTAGTTTGTGCTGACTTGACATCTCCAGCTATAGTAACAGTTAAATAATTCACTTATTCTAGTTACAGAAACCATTAGTTCGAAAGTCAAATTCAATTATATATAAAAGAAAGATCAGACCCACTTTCTAGGCTTCCACTAGACATCACTGGCTTAGTCTCCCAAGTTAACATTTCTCTTTAGCAAAGCAGAAGGCTAATGCCCTGAACATGTCAAATTACAGAAGTAAGAAAGAACATGTTGAGAAGATCAGCTTAAAATTCTCTCTCTGCATTCCCTCACACCCCGCGTGGTACAAAAATACCAACACATTTCTCTTCCGTAGCTCTTATTTGATACATCTCAAACAGTAAACTTTCCTACTTAAAAAACCAGAGGTTGCCCTGCTGTACAGGGGATTATGCTTTGAAGTGAAGCCTGCAGATAGACCCGTAGGTTTCTAAAAGTCATGCTGTGCAATTTGCAGCATGAACTGCGGGGTAACTACATAGCAAGAGCTACCTCCACTAGCTTACTTGTTTCCAAAATATCATCAATCCAGGCAAACTGAAGGTGCCACAGGTATTAAAAAAAGGCTTTCTGAGGAAGATCTCCTGTGATAAACAATTCCAGGTTCAGAATAATGAAATCACGCCTTCACAATAAAAATCCATTAAATAAGTCAGCTCTTTCTAGGAGAAAGTAAGCGTGCCAATTAAGCAAAAACCCTGCTACAGGGAAGAACTGCCAGCAGCACAAGTTATTTTAGCTGACATTACTTCAGAAAAAGCCCACCATTCACCATCTGTTCTGGCACAAATTTTGAATGCTAAGAAAGTTTCCTACATCACTGATGAAAAGAAAGCAGTCAAGACGCAGAAGTTTTTGTTTTGCTGTTAAAAAGAACAAGCATCTAGGACAACTCACATTTCAGCAAGGACATACACAAATCACAAGTTTTGCACATTTCCTAAAAATCACTACAGAGAATTACAATAAGGCAGAGTGCAAGTGGAAGACACGTGGGGAATATAACAGGACACAAACAATGGCTTCTTGCAAATTCGACATGGGAAGTGGGTGGGCAACTCCAGACAGCGGGTCACAGTTTACACTCCAGGTAATAAATGTACATCTACAAAGTTTTTTCCCATCATTAACAATATCAAAACTTTTGGAAGCTAATGGCTCCGTCAACCTTTTAAAAAGAAGACGCACCATCAAAACCAACTGTTTCGTTCAGACAAAGAAAATGAAGACCAACGCGTGACAAGGAAGCCACAGGAATCAATGGAAACAGAGAGAACAACAGTCGGGGTAGATGGTATTACCAAGAACGTTAAACACCCAAATGAACCACCACACTACGATAAACAATCTCTTCCAACATGGAACTCATAACCAAAGTGGAAACTAGAGCAAAAATAAGAAGCCATGAAACACTGATAAAGAACTAAGATAAAGTAAAATACACAATTCATCCATCTCAAGGCAATATTTATAACTTCAGAAGCAGTAAGAAATTCTTAATGCCTTTCTACAAACCATTGGTGAGATCTCACTTAGAAGACTACATAAAATTTTACTTCTCCCTGCTCAAAAAAAAAAAAAAAAGATCAATTCTAACTGGAATAGCTAGATAAAGAAAACTCACATGTGAATTGAAAGCTTATTTCAGAAGAAGACTTGTATAGCAAAACCAGAAGTTTTAAAAGAATATGACTGCTCTCTATAAATACATTAATGGAAACAAACACCACAGAAGAAACAGAGGAGCTACCTAAGCCAAGGTGAAAAATGGCATAGAAATGAACCTCTCCAATTTCACCATTCATCTTGAAATCAGAGGGCTGAAGTTTGATGACAGCCTCTAACAAAGAGCGACCTAACACTTCGATTCCTTGAAATGTTCGATGAGTTCACAAAAGAGATTATACCAATACTACGAGGACAGCAGATGACCCCACGTAGGCAGAATCGAATTCCAATGCTATCCTCTGCATTCCTATGATTTAGCCATTGAATGTCACATACTTTTCCATTAAAACTCTACGGGAAGAAATTACTTTCCCATTTCCTCCCTAGTTTTGTCTAGCATAAAAAATAGGAACAAATCACGAAAAAGCTGAGTAAAAGCATAATATGAAGTTTGCTAGCTAGCAGGAAATTAAGCATTCTACACAAAACGACACTCTGAAGATTATGGGTTAGAACTATGTGGTCCATCACTGTGACAAAGTTTAGACAAAAACAGATGAACATTTCTGCGCCACATAATTAACGGATTTACTTCTCCCGCATCTGAAACACAAAGTCAGTATGTCACCATAATTTATGAATGAGATAAACATTTAGGGCACCTTTTTAATAGTCTAGCAAATCAGGCTCCAAAAATCCTTTACAAGTTCTTCCTTACAAAAACATTAAATGACAGATGGAGTTTTAATATTTCTCATGACACCAGATGATGCTTTATGTGCAGTCATGCAATACCTCTTAAATAGTTATTTTAAAAAAAAATCTAGTTTATGTTGCAGAAAGATTTAATAGTAATTTAGTATCAGTTATATTTTCTTTCTTAATGGAAGAAACCAGAAAGGACAGTTTAATAACTCTACCTCAAAACTCTAGGTAGTATGCTAAATATGTGAGCTATGATTCCTAGAATAAAAAACTTTAATTATCTTTTAATGAACTTCAAAAATATAATTTTTAGAGTTATTATGCATCCCCTCACTTCTACAGTTTTTATGCTGACAAGCTTAAAACATTTCAACATTTCTGCCTTACTGTATGTAACCTTGCCTTTTTTCCCCCCACCCTCTTTCTTTCTTTTTTCTCCCCACAGGGCAATTTAAACAGAACCTATTTACTAAGTCATTTCAAGTCACTACCACTTGAAACAGATACATTATACCATAGAAACCTGAGTTTGGTATAACTGCTTGATCCCTCATGAAGCGTCCCTAAATTCGTGCAAAGCTGAAGAATAAATCTTCGGACATAATGGGTTATTTTCTTCCTTCACCCAATCAATTTCTGAATTCATCTGGAAACAACACTGCTTAGAACTAAGTAGATTCCTTCCTTAAAATATTCCCTTCCAATTTTTTAAAATATTTTAAGTCCAGAAGAGGTTGGGAACAAAAGACTTGGGCAAGAACTTTTATCAAACAAGAAAAAGCTCTAAATGTTTTTTAAAAATTTACATTCAAGATACTGTTTTATGTTCAAATTAGGAGCGCAAACTAGAAGTAGAGCATGGATTTAGGATAGTGTTTAGTGCTGCCTATTCATCCGATCTATATAGGTATGCAGATGGCAAAAACCTTAATGAGGGCTCTACATTAGTTTTGTGGCATCTGTCCTACTTACCAGAAGATCAAAACAGCATTTGTTTGAGAGCATTCAACTCACTTCCACAAAAGCAGACAAATGTTGAAAAAAAATGTCATCTGTTTGAGGGTCTCTTTCTCATCTGTATATGTAGCAATTCCCACTGACGGCATTGTAAAGTCGTACAAAAGAAGTCCATCTCGCTAGGCTAGAAAGCTTCAACAGTAATGCAGAGGTCAAATTCTCCCACCACTAAACAAATTTATTGTTATTAAATGCAGAGCGGGAAACACAGTGATACCCCAAAACCTAGTTTTATTCAGTTTTGTGAGTATAGTTTTATCACTTATGATTATGAAAGACATCCTTCAGACATACGTAAGGCTAGAAAAAATGACTATCTTAGTATAGGCGTGCACAAAAAAGCTGCACTTCCACATGAACCACCTGCCAGCAAAGCCTTCCCAGCACACCGTTTAACTGCAGACAAATCCCTTCAGCAAAGATCTCTAAAATGTGCAGCCCAAAATCAAAACATGTTTTATCTTTTCACAGAGAAGAACTTTCATTAATTCTGTTACCCAAAGGGACCTTCCAGAGCCTAGGCCAGGCTGACGATATACATGTAGGTACACTGTCATTTCTACAAAACATATTTAAGAAAACACCTTTAGCTTACCGTTACAGACTTCAGAGTCATTCCGTGATAGGTGCCCATGGTATCAATTTTAAAGCCTTCCGTTTCTGCAAAGCAAAAAAGTCTCTTGTAAATCATCATGAACACAGGGACATCACGTCTAAATGGACAATACAGGAAATATCTTTGAAATTATTTCTGCAAAGAACGCATCTTGCTATTGGCAGCGGTTTAGGTTCTGTTCACAATACAAAACCTGGTTAGTAATCAGGAAACGGGTGTTTTCTTTAGACAGAGGTCCATTCGGTATTCCTGCTTTCTGTACCCAGAGTAAGCTTTTCCTACTGGACAGAATCATTCAAATCACTCCACATAATGGATATAAATTTAAATCTTTGAGAATGTCACAATATGCATGCAGTCTTAGAAATTCTCTTCACTACGAAATGGAGAAGTGCCTCATATTCCTCAAATGTATTATAATACAACATATTCAACTTGTATTAATGGGAAAATATACTTAAGAAACCGGTTTACACGCTGAATATAAAACTGTGGCCACTTAACATGATAAATTCACTTCTGAAATTGTGTAGAAGCGCAACAATGTCATTGTCGTATGATACAGAGGACAGAATCTGCATAAATTCACACTATCAAACTAAAGGTGATAAAAAGGGTTGTTGTCGGGTTTTTTTCAGTAGTTTTAATCAGACTGAGTTTATGCTGAGTAAGTGCCAGAAGCCTGCAAGTGCTCAGTGACTAAACCTGCTGTCACTAACCCATTTGCTTTTGAACACTCCTCTTCTGTCCTCCTATTCTCAGTGCTGTAAGATCCAAGTCAGGTCCTGAATACTGCCACTAGGACTTGCAAGACAACCTTTTTCTTTCAGTAAATTCCCTAGCCTCGTGCATCTACTGTCTACGACCCCATCAACCAACCACACAATTAATTCATACTTAAGATAGCATGATAATGACCAGTCAAACCATGATAAGCAAGCATTTGTCAACAGCTAAGCAACATTCAGGCTATTTCAACTAGACTTGGGTTAAGGCAATGGACACTGTGCAGAAATAGCTACAGGGAATTGGGAGGATTTTTGCCATTTTTTCCACCACCTTGAGTACAAAGATGTAACAGACCAAAAATAATGCAGACAAAGTAATGCTCATATCTGAACCTACAAAAAGTCCAAAAAAAATATTAGATTTTCAAGACTGTTAGAGCTTCTCGCTCTTATCATGAGTAAATTAACTTAAACTGAAACCCAGACAACCCTGAAAACAATACAGATGCTCTGGGAAGCATCTATTGTTGCTCATCCTTTCTTCCTTAGATGAGGAAGATTATCAGACACTTGTAGGAAATGAGGCAGAAAAGGTTCCCAGATTTAATAACTCTCCAGGTGCCCAGAAAAAGATACCAAAGCATTGAAAACTGATCATACTCCTCTCACCATAGAGGTAGCTATTATCTGAACGCTGGTTTTGGTTTTACCTTCCCTTTCCCCCCCACCCCCGATTATGCTACCAGCCTACCACCCGCTACCAAGTGCAGAGGCTTAGTGTTACCGACCATGATGTGTTTTACACAAAGTCACCTCAGCTCCAGCCTTTCTTCATCTTGGCTTCTCAAGGCCACCCCTCCCCTTCTGCCGGATTTAACATTTCTGAACTACACAGAGTTCTGGGCAAGGAGCATATTAATATTTCGGGTGGTGCCTGGTGCCTTGCATAATACTTGCTAGAGCTCCCCTACATTGAAGGGATGCTTTTGCTGACCTGGAGCAACATAATGCAGGCTGGCAGTTGTTTGTGAATTTCAGAAGATCACCAACAGAGGAACCTTCCCCCTTTTCAGGCCAACCTATTACGGGTTCCTCTTACTTGTGACATGGAGAATTTCCAACTATTTCAACCAAATATTCTTCCCAAACACCAAAGAATACAGACACACCCTCCCCTCCCTTAACAAGGCCCCTAAAGTAGCATCCCACATTGTGTCTGGCCTGCCACGGTTTCTTTTCTCTCAGTACAAATCCTGGTTCTGTAATCAGTTCTACACATTTATGCCCCATTTCAGTTATTTCCTTCCACTGGACTATTTTTCTACTTTTTCCCTAATAAAACTCTGCATTCCTTCTCAATTAATTAAAAAGCCCTAACCCAAGCCTCCATCAGCACTGCAAAGGGAATAACGGCCCACGGAGCCAGCAGCACAGCAAGAAAGCAAATCAAAGGGGAGAGAGGCACCTGGAAGGGAACAAGCCTCGGCTCAACCACTCAGGCTTTCATCTTTTGCAAAAATCTTCCCAAATCTCTCATAAAATGTGTCCTCATTCGTTTAATGAGCCACAGGAGCCTCTAACCAAAGCCCTGGCTCCTACCAGCGTCCTGCTTGCAGCCTTGTGCTAACCCTTCCTCAGAGCAGGAGAAGCAAACCACAGGGACCCTGAAGAGGCACCCACCGCCTCGAGCATCAGAGCCCATGCTCTTCCCTCCTGACCCTTCCAGCAGCTACACTGGCCTTCCAATGCTACTTAACAGCTACTCATGTACTAAATAAAACAGTTCTGATCATCTGTAGATAATGGTGTAGCACTTTTCCTTATCGATGTGGTTATTGCAGCCACTACAAGGTCTAGTGTGGACCCCAGGGTCTGCTGCCTGCAGGCGAGGTGGCATGAGAAGAAACCTCCTCCCAGACAGCCCACCAGCTCTCAAATTTCCTGCCTCAAGCTCTCCAGCAACTGGTGAATGAGAGTTAAGCACCGCCAGCTTCCAGATAACTACAGCAACCCTTCTTTAACCGGTAACAGCAGACACTCTTTTCACAGAATATACCTTTTTTAACCTGATCCTCTTGCATTCACCATGTGATATTCTACCAGTCAGCCACCACTTTTCCTACAGAAATAAACACTGCTACAAATGAGAGCCCTGCTACTTGCACTTTTGTGCCTTTTTATACGGTCTCAACAGTTTGTGTGCTTGGCCACATACAGCAGCACCTTTTGCCCGCACACAGCCTGGGCAAAGCAGGCAACAAGCGCTTCCAAGTCAGGGACTCCACAGTTACAGCTGCAGCCCCACTTCAACAATTGCTGAGAGTGTTAACTAGGTTAACGCAGCCAAGTTGTACAAGACATTCAAGGACCAAGCTAGAAAGCAGAGAGGCACTTCTTCCAGAGCATCCGCCGAGGGCAGTGGCTGACCCTGATGCAGCTGCTCAAAAGCAGACCTGGGATACAGGATGACCCAGAGGCCACAGTGAAGAGGAGCAGAACACAGAGCAGCCTGGAGCACCAGGGGATGTGCCCCCAGCACACATCAGCATGAATGCCGTACCATACCCTCTGACTAAGAACACAAAAGCAAGAGGTTTCTTCCCTCCCTCCCAAACCAGCTCAGACCTGTGCTGCTGAGTCATGCACCAGCACAGAGATGAAATATTAATGCCTGGCCAAGAATTAGTCTGCAACTCCAGTTTCAAAATCACAGCTTCAGTGATGGTAATAGGGGAAGCAATTAAAATTATATGCCATCTCCTAAGAAAAGGGTGTTTACAAAGAAAAGAGTCCTTTAAATAAAAGAATCATGATGGCAAGTCTTTGGACTCTTCTTTTAAAACTTGGAATTGGATGCAGAACAACTGTCAAAAAAACCTCTTATTTGAGAGTCTTCAATACATTCAGATTTTTCAATAAAATTACAATAAAGTTATCATACACATTTCCTTTAGGCAAAAAGCAGTCCATATTAAGTACTTTAAACACAGGTCCAATACTAAGGAGTAAAGAATGCAGGCAAAGTCCAACAGTAACGTACTCAGACAAACTGTATTACAACTTTTTCTGTTTGCCAAATATAATCAGTTCTATAAACATACAAGTTTTGTTAAAAACACTGACATCAACAAATGCCTGAAAAACTACATCTTGAGAGACTAAACACAGTAACTAGGACTGAATAATCAATTCTAATGCTTCAAAAACATAAACTATCATCAGTTAATATTACGGCTATCTTTTCTTCTCCAGTCATTGCATATATTATGATCACAATTTCACAGTTCAACGACCCAAAGACTGTCAAAAGAACTATACACTTTCCCAGTGTGGTTCATCACTAGTTACCTTTCTAGCATCATCATCTATCAATCTGAGTGCCTCTCATTTAAAAGAATTAGACCTGGAAATGAAAATACGCACACTAATGCACCAGCTTATTGGACTGATTATATTCTCCATCACCATTTGGGCATATGTTCCATTTCCTTGCATACAAATATTAATGTTCAAAGTTCCTTCCATCTGCTTAAAGCCCACTGCTCTATGTCAATCTAGGTCACTCTGCATTTTGATTCTGCACCTGCTGTAGCTCTAGCCATCCAATATGGGTGCAAACTCAAGCACTGATACATTACCAAAGGAATAATAGCTTTAAAAAGACTCAAATTAACCCGAATTTCTGGAAGGAAGTCTAGGCAAACAGAAACAGAACAAAGGAACATATCTCTGAAACACTGAAGAGCTCAAGTTAAAGACCTTGTTTGAATTGTGGATGAATAAGATTGAATAACCACTTCTTTTTTCAGCTGTATACTCTTCAAAACCCAGATAGCACCAGCTCTGCAGACTGCCTGGAAATGATTCACTACCCCACTTCACACTCATAGTAATTAAATCACTGACACCAAATTTCGTTCTACATAAGAGTTTACTGAACAGTCCTTTGCAGTACTGTATCCTAACAAGTAAAAGTTAAGTTTCACGCCTAAATTTCTGAGCTACAATAATTAGTTTACAAAATTCTGTGCATCGTTCATACATAACAGTTCAGTAATAATCTTACAAGCAATCAACACCAAGTTCTTGAAAGATTTTAACAGTACTAAAGAAAAAAAAAATTGCAGTACGCATCTGTGTATGTTTTCCAGCATTGAAGTGAATGTACAATACTGAAAGTTATCAAACTACTTGGTGACACCAAGCCAGAAAAACAGAGACTGCAATCTTTTTCCAAATATGAATCTCTTGCACATATTCTCTGCTAGACAAAAAACCCAGAATCCTATAACTTTAAAAACGAATGCAATAAATAA